GTCATCTACTTCTTTCTGATGATGCTACATTTGGTCTTTCAAGGAATTTGACCATTTTATAAACTAATGGTATAAATTTATATATAACATTTATTACCTTAAGTTTTTATTAGCTGTACACTCTGTAGTAATGTTACTCTCTCATTTATAATCTTAGAAATTTGTCTTCACTCAATTTTTATGATTAGTTGGCTAAAATTTCATAATTCTATTGCTATTCTCAGAATAACAACTTTTACTTTGATTTTTATCTCTTTCCCCTCATTTTCTTGACTTTATATTCTATTCAAATCTCTTTTCTTTTTCTTCTTTTCTACCACCCAATTGCATTCAATTTCACTTCCTTTTCTACTATGTTAACATGGAAACTAATCATTGATTTTAGACCTTTCAGTGTAGTTCTTATTGTTATAAATTTTTCTCCTACATCCTGTTTAACAGTAATCCCAAATTTTTGATGTTATACTTTTAATTTTAATTCAGTTCAGAATATTTTTTAATTTTTTTAAAATTTTGATTCTTTCCTGTATCTAGGAATTTTCCAAAAAATATTTTTGTTACTTATTTCTCTTTAAATTTCTTTGTGGTTAATACATATGAATATACTTACGAATATACTTCATATGCTATAATGTCTCAAATGACTCCTACAAAACACGCTATTTCATTGCCACTGTGAAAGTCTAGTTATGTCAGGAATGGTTTCATTAGAAAAACAAGCTCTTTCCCATGTGCGTTTTTTTCTCTCACCCTCTCTCAGTGCTCTTACCATGTTATGTCTACTGTGTTATAACATAGCAAGAAGACCCTTGCTAGATATGTCTTTTCATTCTTAGATTAACAAGCATATAGAAATGTATTAATTTTTTTTTCTTTTAGTTGAGCATCATGGCACACATCTGTAATCCTAGTGGCTCAGGAGGCTTAGGGAGGAAGATCAAGAGTTCAAAGCTAGCCTCAGCAAACAAGCGAGGCTCTGAGCAACTCAGCAAGACCCTGTCTCTAAATAAAATATATAAAAAAA